CCATGGCCGGATCCGGCGCGTGGAAGCGCCTCAAATCTCTGCTGAGGAAGGACGACGCGCCGCTGTTTCTAAATGACACCAGCGCCTTTGACTTCTCGGACGAGGCGGGGGACGAGGGGCTTCCCCGGTTTAACAAACTTCGGGTGGTGGTGGCCGACGATGGTTCCGAAACCCCGGAGAGGCCTGTTAACGGAGCGCACCCGGCGCTCCAGGCCGACGACGATTCCCTGCTGGACCAGGACCTGCCTTTGACCAACAGCCAGCTGAGCCTGAAGGTGGACCCGTGTGACACCTGCAGCAGACGCAGGGAGCTGCTGAAGCAGAGAAAGGTGAAGACCAGGTTGACCATTGCCGCCGTTCTGTACTTGCTCTTCATGATTGGAGAGCTCGTAGGTGAGTTGTGTGGCCAACTCACTTGCCGTTTCCGTTGTGTCCAGCTCTAGGTGCACGGGATTGGAGGTTTAAACTTTCTTGCCCTTTCTCAAGATACTGATTTCTTGGGGTGCAAAAAGTCCACACAGTTCCAAAGTGCAGGTCAGTCTAAGTACAAACATAGATTTATTGTTTACCTCCATGGTACATCATGCAACTTCCTCTTTTCTTCCAAAAGAATTGTGAGCAAACACCAGGTTAGTTCTTGCAACGTTTAAAATAGTAAATAAATAAATAAATAAAATCTAAAGTTACTTAGAACCCCGTAACATTTTACAGTATGAAGGGACCTTCCCGAACACCTGCAGCCTCCACCCCCTTTTTCATAGGGAATCTGAGGGCCAGAGAGGTTCAAGAAGTTGGGAGGAAACGGGGTGGTTAATGGAAGAGTCACGCCTACAGTCCCAGGCTCTTGACTTTTTTTCCCTTTACCTTTGACTTAGGTGGTCTCTGTGCTACTTCCTGTTAGATTTATAGCCAAGAGATTTGCAAAATTAAATACCACCAACTAACCTGAAAGTTTTTCATTGTAAGGAGAATCTGAAAGGCACCAGAAAATGGCTCCCCCAGGGTGTATGAACTTGGTTTATTTTTCAGTTTTTAGTTATTTAAGTAATACACTCTCACTGTAAAATACATTCTTTGCTTAGAGAATTTCACAGTCACATTAGTGTAACTGCTGACTTGTCCTAGTGACCGTTTACACAGTGACACTAACGCAGAGAGACCATCCTGCCACCGTGTCTCTTGGTGATGCACCATGATGAGACTAGAGGTGGCAGTCCAGATTTGAGGTGCTGGTTGGAGGTTAAATGTAGGAAAATTACGTGCACTTCCTACCTCATTTCATACCACTCCTCCCCAGTGCTCACTTCAGCCATGCTGGCCACCTTTCCCCTATAACTCACAAAGCTCTTTCCCGCCCTTAGGGCCTGCACAGATTTTTTTGAGGTCACTAGAGTAAGAAATACAGTTAACACTGTGACTCGTGTAGGTAGGTGTGCATCATACCTATGTATGTATGCACTGATACACGTGTGTATAAATACCTATGTATAACTGAAACGAAAGTTTTATTTCATGTGATGTCTTCTAATATATTTTTTTCAATTGTGGTTCCACCCCACCTAATTGATTTCATGGGTCCACAAATAGAGCAGGGTCTGCAGTTTGAAAAACACTGCTTTATGTGGGTGGACTTTTCCCAGATCTTCTCTTGGCAGGTTTCTTGTTATTCATGTCTCATCTCAAAAGGTACCTCTGAGAGACCTTTCTGACTGACTAAACCTTCCTTCTCCCCTGTTCCCTCCCCAACTATAAAAGCCCTCAACAGCTGAGATGATCTTGTTTGTATATTTCCTTGTTTTATATTTCCTCGTTTAACATCTTGTCTTTCTCTACTGAAATATAAGCTGAATTCCCAGCACCTAGAACAATGATTGGCGCAGAGTAGACACTCATTAAATTTTTGTTGAGCTCGTTTTTATTGTGTTAGAGAATAAACAGTTTGGCTGCAGTGTAGTAAACAAGAGGGGAAGAGGCCTGGGAACCAGATCAGGTAGGTCCTGTATTAAATGGACCGTATTAAATGAGTGTAGTTTTTAATTCTAAATACAATGGGAAGCCAGTGAAGGCTTTTAAAAGCAGAGTGTGACATGTTTAGGACTTACCTTTTTAAAAGATTACTCTGGCTCTTATTTGGAGAATGGATTGGAGGGTGCGAAAATGGAAACAACTAAACTATTGCAGAGATCCAGACAAGAAATTATTATGGCTTGGACTAAAGTGGCTGGAGAAAAATGTACTTACTGATTGAGAAACATTCTAGAGATGACATGGACAAACTTGGCTAGTGGTTTGGATATGGTGGTTGATGGGAGAGCAGTGTCAGGAATGATTCTGAAGTTTCTCACCTAAGCAGCTGAGTGTATGGAAATGTATGTCATTTATGAAGCAGGGAGAAAATATAGAGCAGGATCTAGCCATGGTTGTTTCAAACATGTTATCATATGTATGTGAAATAGCCAAGTAAATATGTCTAGTGAGCATATGAGTCTACAGTTCAGAAAAGAGGTCAAGGTGGAGATATAGTACATAATGCCATGGGAATGGAAAAAGTCACCTAGAGAGCCCAAGTCTTGGAGGAACTCCAACTTTAGAAATCAGGCAGAAAGCAAACAGGTATCTCAGAATCCAAGAAAAGAGAGCATTTCAAAGTGGCAATAAATAAGTTGAAGCTGCAAGAGGTCCAATAAGATGAGAACTAAAATATCCTTGAGTTTAATAACTGTTATTGATTACTTTAACAACTGCATTTTAATTGAAAGTGAAAAAGTTTAAAAAGTGAGTGCAAAGATGGTAAAGATGGCAAATAAACTCACTCGTCTAATTGTACTCTCTCCGGAAGCCTCTCTTAAACTACAATAAAGGGATCTGTATATCCACACAGATGTGGAAAACTGGAGAGCAGACAATAACAACACAAACTCGGGAAACTAGATAAGAAACTGATAAAGGAGGTAACTGCCTTAATAGATCCAAGAAAGCCAACTCCTAAGCAAGCAATAGGGAAAGAGCCAAGAACCAACCTAATAATATATCAGGAACACCTAGAGAACTTAAGCACAAACTCTGGGCCACAGTTTCTAATTAAGTAGTTCTGGGATCTGGCCTGTGAGTTTGCATTTCTAACAAGTTCCCAGGAGATGCTGATCTTGCTGCTTTATAAAATAAATTCAGGGTTAAAAAAAAAAAAAAAGAGCTTTTAGCCCTGGCCGGTTGCTCAGTGGTTAGAACATAGGACCAAAGGGTTGTGGTTTTGAATCTCGGTCAAGGGCACCTGCCTTAGTTGCAGGTTCCCAGCCCCTACCTCGGGTGGGAGGCAAACCATCGATGTGTCTCTCTCATGTCAATGTTTCTCTCCCTCCCTCCCTAAAAATCAAAGGAGAAAATAGCCTCAGGTGAAGTTTGTTTTTGTTTTTTTAAGCTTTTAAACAATAAAAACACAAAATATTTTTAACTCCACAGAGAAGTTGGAAGATGAACTAAGGTAATCTCTGACAAGAGTAGAGCAAAAAAGTAGAAATGGATAATAGGAGAAAAAAGGCAAGAAAATTAGTATATTAGTCCAAACGCCAAGTAATAGGAGTTTAAAGAAAAAAGAAAACAGAAGGAAAGAAATCAGCAACATACAGTAGTCCCCCCCTTATCTGTGGTTTTACTTTCCACAGTTTCAGTTACCCATGGTCAACCATAGTCCAAAAATATTCTATGGAAAAATCCAGAAATAAACAATTCATAAGTTTTCAGTTATGCGCTGGTTCTGATTAGCATGATGAAATCTCACACTGTCCTGCTCCATCCTGCCCAAGAGGTGAATTATCCCTTTGTCCAGTGTATCCACACTGTCCATCCTGACAGTCACTTAGTAGCCTTTTTGATTGTCATGATATTTACAGTGCTTGTCTTCAAATAACCCTTCCTAACTTAATAATGGTCCCAAAATGCAGGAGTTGTGGTGCTGACAATTTAAATATGCCATAGAGAAGCCATAAACTTTATCATAGGTATCTGTGTATAGGAATATAGTATATATAGGGTTCAATACTATCCACAGTTTCCAGCATCCACTAGGGCAGTGGTAAGCAAACTGCGGCTCGCAAGCCACATGCGACTCTTTGGCCCCTTGAGTGTGGCCACGAAGTTTCAATCGCACTGTACGTGGAAGAGCCACACTCAAGGGGCCGCAGTTTGCCGACCACTGCACTAGGGGTCTTAGAATATATCCCCTTCAGATGAGGGGGTATTACGGTAGTTAAAAAAATGTCCCCAGAACTGAAAGCTATACATTTCCAGATTGAAAGAGTCAACAAAAGCCCAGCAGATTGGGTACATTATTTTGAAGTTTCAGAACATGGGGAACACATTGTTATCTATTGCCTCTGATTGTTTTTGCACAGGGCAGAACTCCAAGTCAAGTCAAATAAAAACAGCCTGGCCAGTATAGTCTTCCAGGGAACCATGAGACAAGGTCACAAAAAGAGAGTGCTCTGGGAATGGGGCTCTTAAGGAGCTCCAACCCTATTCTATCCCTTGCAGTGGCTGCCATGCTGAGGTTTTCACTGTGATTGCCACTTACTGGTGTTCATGGTTACCATATGGGGAAATGCCACGGAGCCCACTATTCTTACCAAGATTCAGCTATTTCCCTAGAATAATAGCTACCTATAACAGCTTTCAGGTAATTTCCAGAGTTTTAAATAAGCTGATTTGTCCATGTTCTTACTGCTTTTATGAAGATGATTTTCAGAGGTCCCTCCTCTGCTATTTTTGCTGATGATCACCAACGTGTGGCTCTGTAAATTTAGGTTAATTAAAATTAAGTTAATTCAGTTCCTCAGTTGCACTAGCCATATTTTAAATGTTCAAAAGCCACATATGACTAGTGGCTACTATATTGGACAGTATAGACGGACATTTCCATCATCTCAGAAAGTCCTATTGGACAATGTGGCTTTAACATATCCTCCTGTATAGATAATGAGGCCAAAAAAAAAAAAACGTTAAGTAACTACCTTAGAATCTCTGAGATTCCAAAGCCCCATGTTATTAACTACCAACGAGTGTTTTCTCACAGTGATTTCCAGCATTTTCATGTCAGGGAATACAGGCAGTCCTCGGGTTACGTCAGACTCGACGTACATCGTTTCATGGTTACGTCACCATCTCCCATTTACAGTATTTATATAAAAAAAAAAAGTTCCGTCATTTCAACGTATGTACATATGTGCTTTATGTTTTTTATTATTTATTTACCACAAGTAAAGGTCAGGAATTGTTATCTTTCTTTTAAATTTTTTTTTACTGTTTCACTTCATTACTGCTGTGTATGTGCTCCATGTGAGTGACGTAGGTGCTTATGTAGATGGGTTCTGACTTACGGCGAATCGCATTACATTGTGCTGTAGGAACAGATCTCCGACATAACCCGAGGACCTACTGTACATACAAAATGATATTTGTGTAGAACACACTGGAGTACGTGGATGTGACTACAAAATCACTGCCTCCAGTTCTGCTGCTCTTGGCTCTGCACAGTCATCCTAGAAATAGGGGGATCAGCAACCCAGCACACTAGTATGTCAAGACACCCTGACCATGAAGTTCCACTATCTATATATATAAAAGGCTAAGTGACCGACCGACCGTCTGTTCAACCATCCAAACAACCGACCGGCCAGTACATATGATGCACACTGGCAATTTAAACGTTGATACATATAAAGCTCTTGCTGGCGCCAATCGCATGCATGTGTTTCGATCTGTCATTGTCAATCGTGAATTTGGTTGACATTCTATTATAGAGAAAAAGCAAATGGTGATATTAAAATATTTCTTAATTTCCTTTCAATGTGCACAAACCACTAGTACAGTATAACAGTGATTCTCAAAGTGTGGTTCTGAGCCCAGAAGCATCAGCATCACCTGGGAACATGTTGGAAATGTAAATTCTCAGGTCCCATCCAGACCTACTTAATTAGAGATTCTGAGAGTCGGGTCAAGCAATCTGCAGTTTTACAAAACTTCCAAATGATTCTGGTACCCATAAAAGTTTGAATACTCTGTATTATATTATAAAAGCTTACACAATGAATGGTAATAGGAAAATTATATAACCATAATGGAACAACATATTTTTACACACAGAGACATATATGTGAAATTATGTGTGTGTATATATAAGATGTCTAGAAAAATCAATATAAAATTTTAAATTGTGTATTTTAAATACCACCTTTTATTCCTCTATTAGAAGACATTGCTGTTATGTATCCAAATGAATCTGTTATTTGTATCTTTTGTTTTGAACTAATGTACATTTTATGAGTTTCTTCAGTTTAATTTTATGTTCAAACTCTCCCAAACAAGTGAGTACCTACCTTTTCTTCAGCTTTATTGTAATATGTAGATATTGTGGTTATTAATTTCACTGTCTAAGAGTAGGATAGTTAGTTGAGTAAAAGCTGCAGTGCTAAAACACAAAATTCCTATTTATGTGTTAGCTCCAGTTTAGTGATTCTTAATTTCTTTAAGGTTGTTGACTCCTCAGAGAATCTATTCATAGAAATGGACATTGTCACTAGAAAAATATATGCATATTTAATGTTTTGCATCAAATTTCAGTTACCTTGATTTCATTGTAATAGGATAAAGATTTAGTTAGAAGCTCATGTTTTGTAGGATGTTACATATTTTTGGCTTTATTACTTACATTTATTTTAGTTAACATATTTCTTCTTCCCTCTTATCCTTACTCTAAGGTGGATACATTGCAAATAGCCTAGCAGTCATGACAGATGCACTTCATATGTTAACTGACTTAAGTGCTATCATACTGACCCTGCTTGCTTTGTGGCTGTCTTCAAAATCACCAACCAAAAGATTCACCTTTGGATTTCATCGCTTAGGTAGGTAATTGGGAGGTGTTTTTTAGATTATAACATCTTATGGTAAACCAACAACGGACTATAACCTTTGATTAGCTGAAATCTTTCTGGTGATAAGCCTGTTGAAATAGATGAACAAAGCATATGAAAATGGGTGAACAGCATTTATTCAGATACATATCTTCCCATGTACTGAACTTCAGCCCAGTCAGCTGAACAGTTTACACATTTAAATTATATGGTAATCATTAATTTGTAAATGGTTTCCCTATCTCCTAATGATGTTATCAGAAAAAAAGTTTACCTTCACTTTATTGAATCAAGCAAAATTATGTGAGTTTAATTCATTAATGAGCATTAGCTTCTTTCTTTTACTTCAGGTTATTTCAACCAAGGCTACTGTGGCCAAGATTTTAAGTATTATTATAATACGTATAACATTTACTGTGTGGCTGACCTTCATTGAGGCCATTGTATCAACACAATTCTGAAAATGCTGACAAAGATTCTTTGCTTAATCACACTTTAGTCAGTCTCCTGAACCTTCTCCCAAGACTCCCACTCTCAGTATCTTGCCAGTTATCCTTCAGGTGATGTCTCGCCACCCCGGCCTGTCTTCACAAGAATTCTGTTCGGTCAGTTTTACCAGAATCCCCCTTCCTCTGATGTTTCCTCAGTAGTTTTCCACCCACAGACTCCCAACCTGCTTCTTGGCTATAAATTCCCACTTGTCCATACAGTATTCAGAGCTGAGCCCAAACTCTCTCCCCCACTGCAAATACCATTGCAGTGGTCCCTATGCCTATCTCAATAGCTTCCCCTCATGAATAAAGTGTTCTTTACCATGTTGTAACAAGTGTCATTGATTTTTTTTCCTTTTTAATAATGAACACATTTTATTTTCCTATTTTTAACAGATACTAATATTTAGTTGAGGTTAAAATCATATATAATCATATACAACTGTGCTTCTTGCTGTGTTACTATTTTTAATTTTTTTTGCTTATTTTAAAAATACATATAAAATAATTGCCTTTACTATTACGTGAAGTGCCATATGACCACATGTCATTTGCTCAGAACCCAAAAGGTGACATTTAGGTAGCTTCAGCAAAACCTGTCTTAAAGAACCAGAATTAATAATATTGTTTTTTATTTTGTGTAGACACTGACACGCTTGGCTAATATATCAATCAGTTCCTCCCCTTCTGTGTTACTTTTTGACCTAATATTAACTCAGCATCTAGGTCTTCTAAAATGTAATCACTGGGTCTTCTGGTATATAACTTGACATTTTAGCTGAATAGCTGTATTCCGAGTAGCTATCCAGGCCATCAGGCTGGGAAACTATCTGGCATCTCCACCCCTCAGCTCTCAACTGCTGTACAAGAGAACTGAAGCCCTGAGTGAGGTGTTTCTGTTATAAGCAACTACATAATGCATTTGGATGTGTTCCTAAAAGAAGCCTCACTACTTTCCAACATATACATTCGTTTGTTAATTGATTGACTTGAGGGTTTTTAACAACTTTAAAATTGCCCTGACCTGATGGCTTGGTTGGAGTGTGGTCTCATACATCAAAAGGCTGTGGGTTCAATTCCAGGTCAGGGCACATACCTACAGTACAGGTTTGATCCCTGTTTGGGCATGCATGTATGAGAGGCAGCGAATTAATGTTTCTCTCTCTCTCTCTCTCTCTCTCTCTCTCTCTCTCTCTTTAACAACTTTAAAATTGCCCTGACCTGATGGCTTGGTTGGAGTGTGGTCTCATACATCAAAAGGCTGTGGGTTCAATTCCAGGTCAGGGCACATACCTACAGTACAGGTTTGATCCCTGGTTGGACATGCATGTATGAGAGGCAGCGAATTAATGTTTCTCCCTCTCTCTCTCTCTCTCTCTCTCTTTCTCCCCCCCCCATCCTCTAAAAAAATTTTTTTATTTTCCAATTTTATTGTGATTTAAACACCTGCAATTTAAGATCTAAAACATAGCATCCTGGAATGGGGATTTTTACCCTCTAGCACTATTTGAGAGAGTACATTTCATTTAATGAAGTCAGTGGCACTCTATCCCAGAGTTATGCAGTAATACAACATAGGAAGTCCTACATATAATAAATTAAAAACCAATAATCATGAAAATTCTATTAAATATCAAAGAAGTACTTAGTATTTACCTAGATGGTCACTTTGTTTCTTCATAGACTATAAGCACTATGAAAAGATGAGAGAAAGTAGGACTGACTGGTCCTGTTGTGTCTCTGAAAATTCCTGCAGACTGTCAGATATTTCCCTTTCCTTACAAATACTAAGTTCAGGATGGTGGACTAGATATCAGCATTTGACTCCTGTCTCTCCTGAGAGTCCATTGAAATAAAAAGTATAAAAACAACAAAGAGAAGTCAATGCTGGGTCACCAATAAACAAATTTCCAGAAATTTCTGAAAGTTAGAAAGTAGATGGGAGTGGGTTGAAGGAGAAAACAAGCCAAGAAGCCACAGCCTAGAGTACACCAAGCTAGGAACTGGCTCAGCCCAACAGATCTCTAAAGAAAGCTCAGAACAAAGAGCATCAGGAGTGAGAATTGGGGCTGAAAACAAGGAAAATTAATTGAATGACTGTATGACCTTTTGGAGAATGACTCTGAGTTTCTTCTATAAAATATGGATGATATTACTTGTATTGCAGAATTGTGAAAAATACATAAGGTAAAGTGGTAAGGTATAAGTACCTAACAGGGTACCTGGCACAGAGTAAATTTTCAATAAATGTTAGTTTCAGTCATATTTTCCTTCCCTCTTGGACTAGACTTTATATCTCTCAAAATGACCCATGCTTCTAAATTGCCTGCCTTCCCTTCTTTCCATATCAGAATTCTTATTCTCTCAGCATAACTGTCTCAACTAGGTAGTAGGAGAAAAGTAAGATGATTCAACCTGATGAGTAACAATTTTAAAAGATGTGCTTTTTGACTTGGGTCTTTGGGAGCATTTTTGGCAATACAACAAAATTTATTTTAGCAAAAATCATTCCATCCTGGTGAAAGAAAGGTCGTTGGATTTGAAGGGTACTCCCAAGGGGCTGTCCCAGGAATCAGTACCAGTCTGTTGGTATTTTCCTTTCCTTCGTGTGAACTCATAGATTGTGTGAAATCACTCAGGAGTTTCTTTTCCTTTTCCTTTTCCTTTCAGTGAGCTATAGTGGCAGCTCTTTTGTGGGAAGAGGGAGAGGAGGGTAGAAACCACATGAGAGTTATTTTTAAGTGCCTGCATTTATTTGGCTGTGGGTGGTTTGCCCTCTCATCCTGGAAGTTAATAAAACTTAGAACTTAATGAAACCACACCGTGGGGAGAGATTCCACAAACCCTTAGGCAGAATGGCACTATCTCCCAGACCAAGGGGACATGCTGTTCTAAAGAGAACATCCCTTGCTTGCTTGCTTGCTTTATTCCTTCTCTGAGGATTATGAGTGTAGTTGACTTTATTTATATGGTTTTTCTTTTATTTCTGGGGCTGAAGAGGCTGGATGGATTAGATAAAGATAGCGAGCATGTGAAAGGACTGTAGTAGGCAGAGTTGTCTGCATTTGAAATAAAAAGCAAGATACACATTATGGTAATTCAGCTCATCAGCCTAGGTTAGTGGCAAAGTGACAGTGTGGGAGTCTTTCGTAATATGTAGTTCTACTAAGCAAAGGCCTTGGCAGATCTGGCTAGATGATTGTTGTTCTGGGATATGTATATGATAATGTTAATTCTACCTAGTTTGTTATTTATTCCCTGATGCTAAAGCATTTAGCAGAAAGTATTCAGCTAAAAATTCTCTTCCCCCAAACATGCAGCCAAAAAAAAAAATCTCTTCTCTCTAGTTAGTGATTCATTTTAACAACTTCCTCCCCCTCTGATATGAGTTATGCCTACTCATTGTTCACATCTTAGTGAGAATTAATTCATATCACATGTACATCTCTAGGAAAAGAATAGGTACTTCCTAGAATTCAGAGTTTTTATTGAGGCAGAAGACATGAGTGAGGTAGTCAATGTTGACTAGCCAAAAGTCAACTTGGAGTACTGGGGGCACCTTGAGTATGGATAGAGGGAGTAGTAAGAAGATAGAAAATAGGAGATTACTTAGAATAGGAGGTGAGAGGATCCAAAGACAAACTTTGCAATTTAGCTTGACATTCTGGTAGCAAAAGTGGGCCACTGAAAATCCTGTATGATGTCTTTAGCCTGAGTGTTGTTGGCTTATCTGTGGCTGCGTTGAAATACAAATATTAGTTTAAAAGTCCTAGGCAGATCCAATACAGCTCACTGATTTTTCCTCTGTTTCCTTCCTATCTTCTATTGGATGAAGGTAGAAAAGAGAAAGAGCATAAAAGGAAGTGGGGAGAGAATATATCTCCACTTTCCTTCCCTATTGATTTTTATTGAGCTCTGAAATCCGTCTTTAGATGTGCTATGTATAGTTCCTTGAGGCAATAGAAAGACAACATTATATAATTTAAGGGAAATGTATTCATTATTGTCATTGCAGTGTTGGCAAAGTTAACAGTTAAATGTAGGCCAGTACACCTAGGCAGCACTCACACAAAAGTGAATGTGCTGACTGAGTGTGGTTTTACATAGTTGAAACATTGTTACTTATTCACTGAATAGGCACTCAATAGTTACTTGTTCAGTGAATGAATGATAGTATAGTGTGGGGAGACAGGCAGTAAATATGTACCACAAACACAACATAATCATAAATTGTATTAAATGCTACAAAGAAAAGAATAAAGTACTATGATGGAGAATAACAAAGGATGGTGAAGAACTCAATATTTTTCATATGAACATTGAAAACCTCTAGTTTTGACAATTTATAGATGTGTTAAAATGTACGTAAACATTTATTGTATTTTATGGTATGAGGCAAAACTTAATAATCATCTATGTTTTCTCCCAATTAATTTTTTCTTTTACCAATTTATTGGCCATTCAAACCAAAAACTGTTTATTCATACTACTCCAATACTAGTTCAGCTGAGTGCAGTGATTTAATTATCTGTGCATAAAGTAGCAAAATATATTAGAACTACTATAACAATAGGTTTTTCAAGAATTTCTATAAAAATCCCTTTTAAGAGTTTTTCATTTTTGCTAAATTTCCATTTAGTCAAGTTTTCCGAAGCTAATGGGGTAGTAACTTTCACAGAAATCTAGGGTTTTAGTTGGGAAAGTTCCTGGGTCTCCTTTAGAAAATGAAAATCTGTATATGTTATACACTCCTTTTGTCTTGAAAATCTTTATTGTACATTATGTGACCAGAGACCAACCCAGAGCAACAAATGAGAAGATTGGAGCAAGTCATAATTTCATTGTTGAATGAAAATTTCCCTCCCTGTTAAACATTGTTGGAGGAAAAAAGGAATCTTGCCTATGTTTATCTGCATTCCATCATGTTAAAAATACTAGGCAAAAATGTTAAACACTCATTAGTCCTATTCATATTTCACCAAAGTTTCATTCACAATGAAAGAACTTGTTGTTCCTTTTATCAGAATAAAATGGTCATATTACTATTATTAGGATTTTTAGCTATGTAGTATTATATATGCCTTATACTTCTCAATTATAAATCTCAGTCCCAAAAATCTACTTAAAATTCTGTGTGTGTTTCTCTTTTACACTTACCAGTTTTCTAGCTAGAAGACATTTTTACAGTCAATTAGAATAAAAACTAACAAATGAATGTCTTTGCTTTTCACCAAGGGAACTAGATGTGAGGCACATTCTTTCTGAATTGCTGGAAAAGGGATATAATTGATGACAGCATCTTAATATGTCATTTGGGAATTTCTAGGAATCAGCTGAATTCTATTACTCTTAACTGTGGGAAGTCATTGGGATCCCTTTTATGCTGCTCTCCTGGGTGAAAACTATATTGTGAAAAACTGCATTTTCAGCTCCTAGTGGGCTGGGAATCCTCCTTGCCAAAAAAATCTGTTTATGCTGTAGTTTGACTTTCATAAAAGTTATATGAATGTGGTTGATCTCTCTCTCTCATAACCGATATGATAACTGAGAGGGCTATTGAGTGACTAGTGGTGTACCATGGTTTTGAGTAGTAATTGTGTTTATTTGTCTTATTCCAATATTAGTTCTGTTCATGCACAAAAATTTTATTGGAGTTTCACCTAAATTAATGAAATGTCAGGAAATAGTTTCTAACTTCTAGATAGTTTTTCTGTATTGTAAGTTATAGGTTGGAATAAAAAGGTATCAAAGTCCAATATGCTTGAACTACCTGGAACCTTTGAGGAATGAATCGACCCAGACAATAGTTTTCCAGATTCTTTTACCTTTTAACACTTAACAGGATTAATGTCCGGTGTCTCTAAAGGAAAAATTTTCTTTAAAAGTATTTTCTTGTTTTGAGTGTCAACATTTGTTTTATGTAACAATGTTAGTTAATTATTTTAATATATATTTTACATTGCCTATTTTTTGTTATTTTGAAAAGATAAATTATCTGTACTTTATACTCATATGGTAGAAAATTTATCTGGTATGAAAGCATATATAGTACAAAGCCATCCCTATCTCCTCACCCATTCTCCTCATAACCAGTTTTTTATCAGTATTTTGTACATCCTTCTGGAGCTGCATTTGCAGATCATTATTTATATACTAGAGGCCCGATGCACAAAATTCATGCAAGAGTAGGCCTTCGCAGCCCCAGCTGCCTCGCGGCCCTGCCCCCCGCCCACTGGTCATTCCGGAAGGTCTTCCGCCATCCAGTCCAGTTAGCATATTAGCTCTTTATTATATAGGATATTCTTTTTTCTTTTCACACAATGGTAACACCATACACAATTGTGTTCTTTGCTTTTTCACTTTGTATTTTGGAACTTATTCCTTGTCAGTACGTAAAGAGCCTTACTCATTTTTTACAACTGCATAGCATTCCATGTTATAAGGCTTCTACTAATAACATTTTTATTGTTTACAATTATTTGCTGTTCATACAGTGCTTGATGAATAGCTTCATAACATACCACATTTTGCACATGTGCAACTCAATTGGCATGAGTGTGTATGTCCTTCCTAGAAGAGGAATTCCTGGATCAGAGTACATCATGAATACTTGAATGCATAAAAATGTGTTTGTTTTTATTTAGTCTAAAGGTAATACATCTTTGTGGTTAAAAACTTAAAGACATTTCAAAAATTACTGAAAAAATAAAGTTAAATTCTCCAAGCTCCTCCTCCCACTTCCCAGATGTAACATTTTCTTGTCTATCTTTCCTATAGTTACCAATGTGCCTATTTTTTTCTTTTTTATACATAAATGGTTGTATGGTATCCCATTATATGTATATGCCACCATTTATCCATTACATTACTTATTGGGGAACATTTAGGATGTCTCTGGATCTTTTTTGATACTACCAACAAAGCCGCAGTGAAAAACCTTGTAGATATCTTTGCATACATGTGGATGTTATTCTAGATTCCTAGAATCAAGGAATACATGCCTTTTAAATTTTGATTAGTTTTGGTAAGTGCTCTCCAAAAAGATACTTTTATTTGATCCTTCCATCAGTATATCCTTGCTGACACTATTATCAAACTTTTTAATTGTTGCCATTTTAGTAAGGGCCAAAAAGGAATCCTACTGAATTTACTGTATTATGATTGATTTTGATAAGTTGGCCATTTCTGTTTATTTTCTGTATATTACTATTTATGCTCTTCACCCATTTTTCTGATGAGTTGTTCACTTTGTTATGATTTGTAAGTGTACTTGCCTACTAGGAAATTAGTCTGCGGTCATGTATGTTACAAATATTTTTTCTCAGGTTTTCCTTTTTTGCCATGTGTTTGGTCTATAAATACACATAATTTGACCCTAAAGAGATGAGGGGAAGGTAGCAAGTGGTAGGAGTGAGTGAGTTGGGGGATTCAGATCAAACTACTAAACCTTTTTAAATAAAAATATATATAGTATACCTGAAACTAATATACTGTTATATGTCGGCTATACCTCAATTTTTAAAAAATGTTCCATATCAAACTATTTAAAATAATTTTTAAGAAAAACATGACAGATGATATAGTGCTTTTATCTTCTTAGAGGAAAGGAGATCTAAATAAATAAAAGATTGTACAGTATTTAGTTTGTATGAGGTGTACTAACTATGCTGCAAATACATTTGTTTTTTATATTTTTCCCTCCAGAGGTTTTGTCAGCTATGATTAGTGTGCTGTTGGTGTATATACTTATGGCATTTCTCCTATACGAAGCTGTCCAAAGAACTATCCATATGAACTATGAAATAAATGGAGATATAATGCTCATTACCGCAGCTGTTGGAGTTGCAGTCAATGTAATGTAAGCTCGATGTTTTTTTAAAAGAATTTAACTGGCTTTATTCTGTAGAGCAGTTTTAGGTTCACAGCAAATTGAGGGGACTGTACAAAGATTCCCCACATACCCTCTGCCCCAACACATGCATAACTTCCCCCATTACCAGCATCCCTCACTAGAGTGGTACGTTATTACAGTTGGTGAACCTGCACTGACACATCATAATCACCCAAAGTCCATAGTTTACATGGTTCACTCTTGTTGTTGTACATTAATGGGTTTGGACCAATGTATAATGACATGTATCCAACATTTAGTAGCATACACTCTACGTTGTTTTCACATGAATAGTCTCAAATACTGTGAACTTAGAGACTATACATGCATTCAGTAGTAATGCAGTGATATTTTAATATATTTATAAATTATATAGTACATCAGTTTTTCTTATAAATATTAATAAAACACTGTTGGAATTATAAATTCCTCATTGGTTTGTACAGGTATACTGAAGTTTGACTAACAATCACAAATTTAAGTAGAACAAATTTTTTTAATTTAATTTTTATAATACTTTCATGTTGAGATTTTTTTTAACAACCAACTTTTTTTCCTAAAAACATGAAGTTTTTAAGTTAAATACTCAATCATGTGAATCAGGAGTCAGCAAACTTTTTCTGTAAAGGGCTCGATAGTAAACATTTAGGACTTTAGAGCCATACAGTCTCTTTCTCAGCTACTCTGCTGTTTTAGAACAAAAACAGTCCTATTCAGTATGTAAACAAATGAGCATGGCTGTGTTCCAATAAAACTTTATTTACAAAAAAAGGCTATGGGCCAGATATGGTCTACAGACCATGGTTTGCCAGTCCCCATCTAGTGGCTTCTATTCTATACTTAGAATAAAATCAAAAGTCCTTACGATGGCCTTTTAATATTATCCTGTGTACCACTCCAACTCATGTCCTAGCACTCTTGCTGACTTTATTCTAGCCACAGTGGCTGTCTTGCCTTTTTTAAAACACATAGAGCACCTTTGCATCCAGGCCCTTTACCCTGGTATTCCTTCTGCTAGAACACTCTTCCACCATAACTTGCTTCCTGGCTTCATTCAAGTCTCTGCTCTGATGGAATCTAAGGAAGGCCACTGTCCCCATCACTCTCCATCACTAGCAACGCTTTACTTTTCTTCAACGCCTTCCCATCGTCTAGCAGTACATTAGGGATTTATTTGCTAACTGTTCTGCCTTCCGTACCAGAACATAAGCTCTAAGGGGATAGGGATCTGTCTCAGTCACTCTTTTGACCCCAGCACCTAAAATAGTACCTGATACATAATAGTTGCTCAAATATTTAGTAAATATTGCCTCACTCATATCTGATTAGTCATAGATATTTTTATCAATAGCATTAGGACAAATAATAATGTTTTGTTTTCTTTTTTTTTTTAACAGAATGGGGTTTCTGTTGAACCAATCTGGTCACCATCACGCCCATTCCCACTCCCTGCCTTCAAATTCTCCTACCACAGGTCCTGGGTATGGGCACAACCATGGGCAGGATAGCTTGGCAGTGAGAGCTGCGTTTGTACACGCTTTGGGGGATTTGGTACAAAGTGTCGGTGTGCTAATAGCTGCCTACATCATACGATTCAAGGTACTATGATTGCTAATTTTTTATTTTAAAATATATTTAATTTCAACGTTAAAACTAAAACTGATTGGCCCTGGCCAGTGTGCCAAGTGGTTAGAGCATTGGCTAGAGCACCAAAGGGTTGCAGGTTTGATACCCTGCCCGGTGGGAGCATGTGGAGGAGGCAACCAATTAATGTGTCTCTCTCATATCAATGTTTTTCTCTCTCCCTCCCTCCCTGTAGTCTTCCCTCCCTCCTATCTAAAAATCGATGGAAAAAAAATCCTCGGGTATGGATTAATTTAAACAAGAAAAAACAAACTGATTGCCTTTCATCAGTATACGGGACACCGGTGCCGCTCCTATTCATTTTGCACTTACGCAAACCTAATTGAGCCACCAGTCTATATAGCTCTTTTGTTAGCACTGAACACCATGGTATCACATCACGAGGTAACTTACCTGTAACTGACAGGTACTAGACTGTGCATGTAGTGAAGTCCAGAGATCTGGGTTCTAGTGTTGGCTCTGCCACTAATGCTTTGACCTTGAGCAAGTCCCTCAACTCAAAATTTGAGTTCCCTCCTCTTTAATATGAGGGGCTTAAATCCAATTGATGACTACTAAGACTCCTCCTAGCTCTGATGTTCTATGGTTCTGGGCAGACGATTTAGAGAAGGCACAGAGGAAAAGAACAGAACAAACCATTAAACTGCTGAAAATGGTCCCACAAGGAAAGGCATTTAAACAACCCAGGAAAGAATTCTCAGATGCAGTGTCCTGGTTTCAGAGGTATTCTGCAGTCCTGCTAGAGGACAGGGGGCAGAGTATTCCTTAGTTTGCCTTACAGTCTGTTATATGTCTGTCGATATTTAACCACACAATTTTGATCTGTCACTTCACAGCCAGAATACAAGATTGCTGATCCCATCTGTACATATGTCTTTTCATTACTTGTGGCTTTTACAACATTTCGCATTATATGGGACACAGTAGTTATAATACTAGAAGGTAAGATCTCATTAATATCCCCATTGTGGATGTATTCCTAAGTCAGATTGGGGGTCAGGGAAGACTCTGGGGTAGGAGCCATGTCTTTTCTTGTTTTTATTGATGCTTACTAGGCTACAGTTACACCACCTTACATGTATAGGATGTATAAGAATCCATGCACTCTCCCATATGTTACCTATTTGATCCTTATAATAGCTAAGAAAAGTAGGTAAAGCAAACATTATTATCCCCATTTACCAATAAGAAAATTGAGGTTCAGAGGGGTAGTATAACTTGATTAAGGCCATGCTGTTACTCAATTACAGAGCTAGGACAAGAATGCAGCTCTTTGATTCTTAATGCAAGTATGTGTAGCGGTTCATTAATTTACTAGAGGCCCGGTGCATGAAATTCGTGCATTCAGAGGAGGAGGTCCCTCAACCCGGCCTGTGCCCTCTCACAGTCCAGGAGCCCCGAGATCGGTCGCCCCAAAGAGGTAGGCCCCGCCCACCACCGCAGCCTGCCGATCCGTGGCCTAGGTCTCTCTCTTTGGGGCAATCATGGAGCCCCCCGATTGATCACCCCGCTGGCCGGTGGCTTGGGCCTCCCTCTGCAAGGTGATCATGGGGTGATAGCCGGGCCCCTGACCAATCGCATCGCACCTGCCTTGGCTGGCCTGGCACCAGTGGGTGTCATAATGTGGTAGTCCAGGTGGTCCTTCTGCTGTTTGGCCATTGGGTTGATTTGCATATTACACTTTTATTATTATAGGTTAATTTCAATTTAACTTGCAGCTTTGTTATATTTTCAGCATTCCTGCCTTACCAATATTACATATAAGCATGTAAATATAAGTTCTCAACACTAGTTTAGCCATCATTGGATGTTCCTTTCTTTTTATTTTTTATTATCCTAGCTTATTTGTTAAATGAAGTAACCTGGGCTGGTTAACATACCTTTTTAGTGAGAATGAACATTTTAAAAGTATTTATTAACCTTTTGTGTATATCCTACTATATGTGTGCATGGTTTATCTTAAAATACTAATATATTTTATTAGAAAGTGTTCATTTTAAAATGAATTTAGCAAAGCTAGTTGTCTGTTTGTTTGTTTGTTTGTTTGTTTTCGGGGGGAAGGTCCACCAGTAATTTATAACTTTTTCCCCTAAGATAAATTTTACTTATAAGTGATATATTCTGAACTAATAGGTGTACCAAGGCATTTGCACGTTGACTATATCAAAGAAGCCTTGATGAAAATAGAAGATGTCCATTCAGTGGAAGATTTAAATGTCTGGTCTCTTACTTCAGGAAAGCCCATGGCCATTGCACACATACAGCTAAGTATGTTGCTGTTGGTAAATACTGGGGTTGGCGGACTTCTGTCTTTGGGATTAAACATCTATGCTTATAATTAAGTAGGAAGACTTCTGGAAAGATTTGTTTTAAGGGAGGGTGTGGGCTCTTCAAAAGATGAGTTGCAGGTTGATGTTTATAGCAGAGCAATAATTTTTATCCCTTTGAAATGAGATGAAACACAGATTTTTGCCTTCAGATTAAAGGTACTGGGTGTATTTACCATGCTTTTTCTACATAAGAAAAGCTAGAGCCTGTGTTTTTTCTTTAAATCATTTCACAGACCGATGCTTTTTATTTGATTTTTTATCAAAATAGTAAATGCATGAGTTTTATTTTTAAAAGTACAAAAGATGAGCCCTGACCTGTTTGGCTCAGTGGATAGAGCGTCGGCCTGTGGACTGAAGGGTCCCAGGTTCGATTCCAGTCAAGGGCATGTACCTTGGTTGTGGGCACATCCCCAGTGGGGAGTGTGCAGGAGGCAGCTGAATCGATGTTTCTCTCTCATCGATGTTTCTAACTCTCTATTCCTCTCCCTTCCTCTCTGTAAAAAATCAATAAAATATATTTTTTTAAAAAGTACAAAAGATGAAAGACTTGTAATTGATGTTTAGATTTCTTTCTCTACCCGAAAGTGGACTGGAAAGAGAGGGATAAGGAGAAGCTGGTCTGGCTTGGCAAACGGACACACTTCTCTCACAATAGCTTCAGGAGGGTAGAAATCAAACTAGTAAAAATATGTTCAGAGCATACTAAGGTTGTTTTCTCCCTGGGTCTTATTCACTAATGTGTAATGTACAATGAATAGTAACGATATTTTCTTGACATTGCAGTTCCTGGAAGTTCATCTCAATGGGAGGAGGTACAATCCAAAGCCAGGCATTTGTTGTTGAACACATTTGGCATGTATAAATGTACTATTCAGCTTCAGAGTTACCGGCAAGACGTGGACAGAACTTGTGCAAACTGCCAGAATGCCAGCTCCTAACTGAAGATGTCTGGGGGACTACTGCCTTATTTACCCTGCAGTCACAGACTTGAGAGCAATAAATGCACTTGAATGGGAGAATGGAATTCCTGAGAGCCGTGCCCGGGCACTGGCCTCGCAGTCAGCCTGAGAGTGCTAGTTTCTGTCGAATGGTAAAGTGAGACTTCACCATGATTTTCAGATGAAGATGTTTCCAAAACACTGTTTACAGAATGAGACGTGACTCTACAGATACCTCAGAGAAGACAATCGAAGACCGTACTTCACAATCACAGCAGAGCATGTGTCATAAAGGAAGCATCAAGAGTTCTGTATTTGCATTTAAAAATCCTTTTTAAAGCCCATTTCTATCAAGCCAGTGCTGGAAAACTGATTTTTTTAATCTAATCTTGATACCCAGCTTCTGGAATTTGACACCCAGCTCTCTGTTTTTACAGAAATTATTTCTCAGCAGATTTCAGAAAGTACTAGTAATTATCCAGAGTGGAATAAGCATGTATTCCTAAATGTTTCAGAAATGTTTTATTTCACAAGTAAGTCTTATTGGTATTATTATACTTTATAAACAAAATTTTCCAGATATTAGAGGGTTTTGAATCTCAATTTTTGGTTATTTGTAATCTTATCAGAACCAAATCTTTACGTATTGTGGTCACTGTCATTAAATTGCTTAGGAAATATTTTCAGTTTATTCTGAATGGCAGAAGTTAATCTTAAACTGGAATTACTATATGATAATTTGAACAAATATAGAAGCAAGGATGGGGTGTGGAGTTTCAGATTTAAGTCTTTCTGAAATCACTTTTATTGTCCATGGAATTTATCTTTGCTTACGAACAGCAAGCGACGCAAAATGCAAACAATGATGCTCTGTCCTTTTAGAAATTGCCTTATGTTTTGTACAGAAAGTTTGCTTGGTACCTTGCTTCCTGCCTCCATACCAGGTCATCTGCTTGTGCCTTTCAGGGTAGAGCTCTAGAGGGCCAAGGTTCAGTTTTAATACCCATCGCTCCCTACATTTCTCCAGAGAGAATTTCTGTATGATGATATGGATTAGGAATCCTCCACAGGCTCCAGAAACCCTAAGATATAATTTTGAGGTTTTCCAATAATACCATAGCAGAAATGCTAAAAGGGATTGGGGGAAGACATGATTTTCAGAAGACAAAAATTTTAAGGGTTTTGGAGTGTGTGTGTGTGTGTGTGTGTGTGTGTGTGTTAAAGCACTGGAATAGGATGGACATTAAATCTGTGTGGTAGGGAAGTTAAACATAAAAGTTTCCAAACAGAAGGCAACCTAACTGGTAACAGTTGTATTAAAGAGGCAACTGTGAATATTCCTGTCAACTGTTGGTTTTGAGATTATATTTAGTGCACATTAGGGAGTCCATTTTCAGCAGAGAATCGGGATAAAGTATCATGTACCAGACAGGCTGTGAGATGAAATCCTAGATAGGCAGGCCAATGACTTAAAATGTAAGTGAAGAATATGAAACAGATTTCATCTTTCTGCCAAGGACCTCACTATAAGTAAACCTAAGGTAAAACCTGGATTCACCTAAAAGATTGTTAAGAGTCAATGGTGTCCAACAAAAGTTTCAGTGAGTGTTAATGGTACCTAATAAAGCCCAGCATTTGTTGAATCGAATTGAAAATTTTATGGGATTCTTACTGTGAATCCATTTAAAATAATGATTTTAATTTTTCAAAAATTTTAGGAACATAAAATAAAAAAAAATACTCTTTTATTATATAATGTCCTGTATTTCAAAAAATACTCTTAAATGTAGAAGGCAAATGAGAATAAACGAGAGGCATGTCAGTGCACATCTGGGCATTTATGACTTTGGGCACCTAGCAGAGAAAGGAAGAGAATGTGCCTGTGCTAATAGGTTTCTCCACATTTGCAGCTGTTCCCATATCTACTGAGCTCGTTTCTTGTAAACTTTCTTTTATCTTAAATAGATTTATCTAACTTTTCACATCGACCTGTTCCTTGAAAAGTTATTGAGTAAAACAGTCTGAAATCCACTTGAGGATTGAAAAGGATCCTTTTGTATAATGGAGAAACACTGACAGCTTTTGTAAATCTTAATTATTATGTTCTGTTTAAAATTAGGTACACATGAAGTTTTCTGTGCTTTGTTGTTTTGTGTGTTTTTTTGCAGCAACTACAGATTTTATGCTTGTATTTTACTGGATCTGTGAGATTTGATAATTGATAGATTTAACTCTCTGTAACTTGACAAAACCCATAGAGAAGGAATGTGAACTTAGCAGATGGGAGCAGGGGCTGCACAGCGTCTGACAGAGACACAGAGAAAGAGCCATCCATTGTCCTATGAAAAGCACAGCTGAGCCTGGATTAACACCTACCATTGTTCACTTTGCACTGGGAAAACATCATAACAAAAACTGGGCAGTTCTTCAGTGCGATGTGTTTTCATTAACATTTGCAAATAATCAAAGTTGTGTACATAAACCTGTGTTTCACAAGTTTGGCCAGACTTGCCTTTTGATTTATCTTAGGAAAAGGCCTATTGTTTCGTTGATGACTGTACTGCCTTAGAAATACACCGTGGGGAATGCAGTTGAATAAGCATATTTCAGAGAGCTTATTGAAATATGCTTTCAATAAGCATATTTGCAGAACCGAAATGACGTCATTCCCACATGCATTTTCCATTAGCTCTGCCTGTGGAGCATGAGCCCAGATTTTCACACCTGTGGCTCCCGTCAGTATTATTTGCCAGTTCACTGGATTTCTTATCTTTCTGTTTCTTTTTCAACTCTGGATGCCATATTTCCATTTCTGAACCGAAGTTTCCTGCTCTTAGGAGTCTCAGTGTTCTAGTTCTGTCTCTTGAACCCAGAGGTCCTCACTGACAGTGTTTATCTTTGGTAGAATTTTCCCAGAATAAACAGACATCAGCTTCCCTTTCTTTTTAATGTGAGGGAAAAAAATCTTTCAGAAACAAAGCACCATTTTAAAGATGCTTCAGGGTGGGAAAAACCATTCTTCCAACAGCTGATTGTTCTGATTCAGAATCTCTGCACACAGAATGCGGGCGGGAGAAACAGAGCCACTGCAGACATGAGTGAAGGTCATCGCTAATGAGATGCCGCCTGTGCTGCTTGAACTCCCACACCCACTCCTGTGGAAGGGAGACTCGCTCACCTCTGAAACAAGCACCGTCGGCTAAATTTATTTTCTTTTTATGCATTTATGTTCATTGTTTCGTCATAAGGAATAAGGTGTTCTTAGAGAAACTGAGCCCCTTTAGTACAAGGTTTTAGGCAATTTTTCTGTTGACTGTACTTTTCATACAGTAAGTTTAAAGTTACAGACTATCTTCCTAAGTGTAAGATCAGTTCATTTGGTTCAGTTTGTCTTTGAACCACGCTTCGCTCATGAGCCATCTGGGTAATAGTCACAAATGAAGTGACATTTTGCTACGCTGTGTTGAGGGGAGCAAGTCTGATCTCCAAGTAACTGATGAAGCTTAATATCTTTCTAACCAAAATGCCTAACCGCAGATCTGTTATGTGAATCGCCAGGCAGGGCTTGAGACTTGTTTCACAGATTACCAGGCAGGGACATCATTTGTGGTGGTGGTGGGAGCACAGAAGTTGGAGGGGATAACTTGTGGGAGCTCCTCAGCATTGCATTGTGTGTGTGCGTTCGGCCAGCCTGTCATCGAGTTCTGGCTGCAAAGGGGTTAACCTGTTCTAGTTATACTGTGAGGACCAACAAACAGTTTCTTATATTCAGTAAGATTGGAAAACATTTATGGGGACTTTCTCTGATAGTGTCAGTTTAAATACTGCAATTACTTGTTTTCTGAAATAATTACAACAGAAAACTGGGATGTGCCAGTATGTCTGCTTTGCACCTGGAAGTTACTGTACATCTGGAAGGTTTGTGCTTCTCTAAATAGATGTTGCGGAGTAAGCCATGTCACAGTGAAACAAGGAGTAGATACTTTTCCACATACCCCTTCAGAAACCAGTATTTTGCAAATGATTGATTTTAGGAAGATTTGGAAGCTGGTGTTTGTCCATGTAATTTAAAATCAAAGTATAGTATATGTACTGTATTTACAATTTATATTGTAATTTCCTATGCCTTTATTAAATAAAGTATTGTTTTGCCATGTGGTTTATTAAAAATGAAAATGTACAGTTCCTTAAATTAAATTTCTGGGTTTCTATTGAGTAAGTCATAGTAGTAGGCCTCAAAACATATCTTCTTAAAAAGCAATGGAGCCGTAACTGGTTTGGCTCAGTGGATAGAGCGTCGGCCTGCGAACTGAAAGGTCCCAGGTTCGATTCCGGTCAAGGGCATGTACCTTGGTTGTGGGCACATCCCCAGTGGGAGGTGTGCAGGAGGCAGCTGATCGATGTTTCTAACTCTCTCTCTCCCTTCCTCTCTGTAAAAAATCAATAAAATATATTTTTTACAAAAAAGCAATGGAAAATAGATGATAACCTATCTAGTTTTATAATCTCAGATTGTAATGCCCTCTTAGATGTTTAAGAAACAAGCCTGAAAAAAATCTTCCAAATAGGATAAAAAGATACTAAAGAACCTTCATCTTTTTATTTTATATCAGTCACTTTTAATGTCCCACCAGCCCAGCAACAACGACAGAAAGGAAAGAAAGAAGCCCCCGAGAAAGTAAGATTGGTGAAGACACGGCAAAGTCCGAGAGCGAAGACCTAGTGTCTCTCCAAGCACGTAGATGGGGGATCAGCAAACCTTACCTCACGGGCCAGGGCCAAAGAACTGAGAATGGATTTTACATTTTAAAATGGTTTTTAAAAATCAGAATAATAATATTTTATGATGTGAAAATTCTATGAACTTTAAATTTCAATGCTGAAATCCCAGTTTGTCTGTGACCACTCAGTTATGCCTGTTGTCCTGGCATAATTAACAACAGCATCTCCTTTTATTCTCAAAGTGGCCAGTTTCTGATAATAAATGATGAGGTCACCCTAAAAAAAAAGTCAGTGTCTGTAAATAAAATGTTAAACACAAACACTCATTCAGTTACGTGTTGTCTGGCCGCTTGCATGCCGCAACAGTAGCAAAGTTAAGTAGTTACAATATAAAGCGTGTACCATCTATCCCATCAGAGGAGAAGTCTGCCAACCCCTGGCAGAAGTCCCCTCTTGTACCCTTTGAGGCCTGGCAGCATATGCGGATGCAGCAAGCCCTTCGAGAGCCCACTTAGAAGCTGCTGAGACTGGTCCCTCAGAGGCTACCTGAGTCACCGAAGGCTCTTTTCTTCCCTTTGATCCATTTTCTTGTCTTTATCCCCCTTGGAGTTTGGGCAGAAATACAGGAAAAGAGGAGCAAGTTTCAGATGTTACCTATGCACCATATGCTGTATCTAATGTTCACTAGCAAAGCAGTTTTCTACCGAGAACAACATGATCAACAGAATCGTTTAACAATACTTTTCATCGTAAAGTTTTATTCACTTGATTTTTAATTTTTTTACTAAAGTTATGACAAAAATAAAGGAAATAAAAATGTATGTATGTTGAGTACCTTATGCAGTTTGTGCCAAGTGAAAGCTCACAAATGAAAAATAACACTTTCTCTGCTAAGATGTTTGTGAAGTTTTTAAAAGAATGTTCTTAAAAGTTTTCCAGTTACCTAGGAAAAGACTCAACTGTTTTTGAAAATAGTAATAAAATAAAGTTTTAAATAAGTTATTCTAGCAAATAAAGAGACGTTGCATATTGTTTATCTACTTATCTGCTTAGCTATATTTCTGTTTTGATGTGTCATTTATTTTTGGCCATGTCAGATGCTAAAATAAATTCTAATTTGGGGCCACAGCCTTGCAAGCTCTTGTTTATGCTAAGCTTTCAGCTTTATTTAATGTTTTAGTAGGCTTATGTTTTTTATTATAATTCAGTTCCAACTATGATCTATTGTAATAGCTATAAGCTATAAAATAGACTAGACAAAGTATAAATAGGAAGTATGAAGCCTTATGACTAAATATCACCTCTAATCATGTGTTTAAGATTAGAAGGCTTAAAAATCCAGCCTCAATGAAATATCACCAAAGATCTCATCATTTTAAAGCAGCATTCTGGTTTAAGGCCCTCATGTGACTTTGAAAAAACATAAACTGTAAAGTTTAGCCTATGAGTATTACCCAATATACCTGAAGATTATACTCTGTAAGTTACCAAAGAGCTCTCATGTCTCCTGTCCTCGACTTTTCAAAAACTTGTTCTGATTAGGCTTTCAAATTCCTATTGTCTGTGTTTCACTTGCCAATTTCCGCATATTGGTTTATGGGTTGTTGTTGTTTTTTTAACACTTTTGGTCACTTTACCAAAATGCTGACACCATGGGAAAAAATTGTGGTTTTTCTCTCAAAATATATAGAGCTACTTCTTGGTAAGAGAGTGTTTTTTGTTTGTTTTTTAAGTAGGAAATTTTTAGAGACCTCATGAAAGCAAGGCCAGTCCTAGACAAGCTGACACCTCTGTTCCCTCGACTGGCCTGGGACTGAACATCTGACCCCACCCTCCTCTCTCATCTTTGCCCCACTTCCTTTCCAGAGGAAACCTGTCGCCAGGTAAATGGTTACAGGGATATTTGCCTCTGAACAGTGATTACAGTAAATGCTTACTTCTTTCTCCACCCACAGTCCCATCCTCTCCACCACCACTATCCTGCCTCCCATGTATCAGCCATACCAGACAACAGTCAACTTTTGGTTTACAGGGGAAATGTTAATTTTAATATTTATTGAGCCCTCACGGCATTCCAGACACTGTGTTGTGCACTTTATATGTATTATTTAATCTTGTGATGGTACTTTGAAGAACATTATAATCTTCATTTTGCACATGAAGAAACAGACCAGGAGAAGTTAAGTGGCTTGCCCAAAGTCAGACAGGTAGAGTTGTACTGGGAATAGAAGGTCACAGAAAACTCTTAAATATAGTAAAACTAGTAAACATGTTAATACAAAAGGGACCCAATGTAGACTAATATAGTTAAAAACACAACCAGCCTTTAGCCCAGCCAGCATGGCTCAGTGATTGAAGGTTAACCTATGAACCCGGGGGTCACAGTTTGATTCCCAGTCAGGGCGCCCTGGTTGTGGGCTCAATCCCTAGTGCAGGGAGGTGTGCAGGAGGCAGCCCATCAATGATTCGCTCTCATCATTGATATTTCTATCTCTCTCTTCTTCTCTGAGATCAATAAAAATATTTTTAAATAAATAAATAAAATCACAACCAAGTTTTAGATAATAGATGTATAAAAGCAATGGAAGTGTAAAAGTTTAGGAGCACTTGACTTTATACAATTACATTTCACTGCCTCCACTTGTCCAAACTACCTTTCCTAAAGACACTGGTGCTCTTCTAAAAGCCCCTGAACATGTTTTAGCCCTTTAAGCAGTTATTCCCTATGAAGGCAATAC